ACGAAGGAGACAAAGCCCTCCGCGGTCCAGACCTCCTGCAGCTCGCTGTCCAGCTCTATTTGTGAGTGTGTCGGGGACGTTTGACTAGCTTTTAACTTCCACATTCCCTCCAGACAAACGCAAGCGCACACACACCTCAACACGCTGCGTGGTCTCATCCGATAAAGACCTTGAGCTTGAGCGCTCGTATATTTATAACCCTGTCTACCGTCTGTGTTGGACACACAATAGACTTCGAAAACAGAACTGGCCCTCTGTGTATTGAAGATTGAATCTGGTCCAAAACCTAGTGAGCTGCCAGAATAGACTGAGTTTAAAGGAACACTATTGATGCAAAGGCTGTTCCAAATATGGATGGAATCCGAAATCCAGTCATTAAAAACTGAAATTACTGAATACAATGGAATGTCATGGAATTCTGAATGAATAAAAGTAAAAACAAAAGTAGAGCCGTACAATTAATCAAATCACAATATGCACTAACGTCTGTGAATATTAAAGTAAAAAGACTTGAAATATGAAGTCTGCATGTTGTGAGTGTCTTGAGAAAACTATTGTCAGATGCACACAGAAACTCAAAAGGTCTTCGCTATAACTCGCCAAAATAAAAGTTCTGCTTAACTTGAAGAAATTATGACAGAAATATGAATATTTTACAGTGGAATGTACTTCTAAAAATTAATAATAATAATAACAATAATGCTGTTTATTCAAACTGTTTTTAAAGGAACGTCACAAAATGACACATTTTCAACCATGTTTTAATTAAAACTTGTGTAGGACTTTGTTTTCCCGAAATGAAATGAATTGTTCACATTCCATTTGATTATATTTGCAAAGATAAAGTTTTGTTCAAGTTTTTTTTACTTTAACCATATTTCACAGAAAATAGAAATCATTATGAAATTACATATAAATATGTACTTAAGTCCTACTAATTGTAGGGCTAATTGCATTTAATATAAATGTAAACTATAATGCATTTTCACTAAATTACAGTTAAAATGCAATTATTGTCAGAAAACTCTGCATTCAGTTAACACTCAAGTATATTCTTAATTTCCATAATAAATACTCTTCTAATAGGTATGACAAAGGCTACTTCTTTTTTTTTATGAGGGAGAGCAAGGCAGGAATTTCAAAGTAAAGGACAGATGGTTTCAGACAATGAGCGATTTCTTCTGTATAAGCTAAATAATGCAGTTATAAACATGTTTGCCAATCTTTCTTTGAGTGAAAACGATTCTCTGGCCTCCATATGTATTTGCTAACTTGCTCTAAAAGGCGGTCACAGTGCTTCTGACGCCTTTTATTCGGAGAGCTCTTTGATTGAATTAGACTCATGAATACGAATGGCGGCGTCAGAGCGTCCAGCAGCGAGCTATTGACAGCCGTGGAGCACGAGGGACCCGTTCAAAGAGCGCAGCACACTTCCAAACACGCATCTCGCTCAAAGACATCAGAGACGGGACACAAGATCTGAACCAAGCTTGACCAAGATCTGAGCACCAGCCTGAGGAAGAGAACGGCCATCATCATCAGAACGGCAGCCAACTTAACGGCCGAACAAAAACGGCTTTCCGACAAAACCACACAGAATAAGACCAGTGTGATCCTTCAAAATGCTTGAAAAGAGCTATTTGGAGCGTGAAAAGCATTTATTCTTGGTATGCAAGGACTAAATCGCCCGGTTAAGAGTGAAATATCAAAACGGCGCAAGGCTGATTGCTCATCAGAACAAGCATTAAAGGTTATGCAGACGAATGAAAATGGCAAATAAGAAAGTCATAATTGTCTCATGAGCTCTAATATCACATTATCATTATGTTGCATTGACAAAGCCAGCATGCAGAACTTAGCTTCAGAGTGTATCAACCACCTACAACACTACAGATCGACCAGCTGATCAGTTTTGCAAATTAATCGGCACCGATAATCGATTATTGAATCGGTTTTCAGCAAAAATCCATACCGATAGTTTTTGGCTGTAGATGTATTATTCACTGTTAAGTTGTTAATGTCAACATTTACTAATACATGTTTAAATTTTGAACTTGTATCTGCCAAAACACTCTAGGGATGCCATAGCATCATAGCAACCGCCTAGCAACCGGTTAGAATATAAAGTTTTTTAGCAGGCTTGTTACAGAAGTGTATTTCACTTTCATTTTTGCCACAGGGTTTTTTTTAAAACAAGTTTTTGTTAAAGAGCCATGAGCCAAACCAACCAGGAAAAAACAAAAAACAGAAAGAAAGAAAACTGGACAAAAAGGCAAAGGTATTTTATGAAGCATTGTGAATGACATGAAATAAAAACGATGGATGGATATTAAACTATTGATTTAAAGATATAGAAACAATATTTTAAGTTGCAAATTGCAAAAAGTATACATACATGGGCCAAAGATTAAAAGGGGGTTTCAAGAATCATATGACATATGACAAAAAATGTATGGCTATCATACATTTTTACCATGATTTACAGAAAAAAGGTGTCATTCAGTGTAACAATAGTTAATATAACAAAACATCTTGTCAGGCATATTTAGAATCAGAATCATTAGATTATGTTAAAAGACTGTTTAAATATAATCAAAGTTAGTATGATCACTTTTTCTTTTATATTTTTTTAATAAGCACAGGTCAGAATAAATGTTCATTCTTAAAAATATACAGTATATATGTTACACTAAAGGATGATGGAACATTTTGTAATTCTTATTTTGACATTTTATTTTCACAAAGGTTATTTGAAACATTAAAGTAAACACTTCACTTCCATTTAACATGCTTTCTATGTATATACAATCACTTTTCTAAATTTAATTTGATGCAGACTCTAAGATGCAATGTCTCGTCTTTGACCCATAGACACAAATATTTAAGCAGTTTTCAAGAATTCTTTAGGCATTTTTATGTATTTATTTATTATAAAAAAAATTTAAAACCAAGAATTCCATTGTTAAACATGATTTGAAAAAATAAGTTGAAATAATATGGGCTGACGGCTTCAACAAAAGCATATACCGTCAATTAACAACCTCACGCTGGATCCAAGTTTATAAGTTGTCATTAAAAATCAATTCTTCTCTGGAGAAAATGAATGGGATTTTTACTTCCAGAGCCAGACTGTTGCACTCAATACTCGTGCAAACACAGAACAACGCCCTAGCAACCACCCAAAACAACTTAGCAACCACTAAGAACATTCACATCAGCACCTTGTCCACATCTCTACAGATGTTAAATCTTTTCAGACTACTCAAGAATTCAAGCTAGTCAAACTATGATAGACTTCAACCTGTTCAAGCGGCTTTCTCAAACCAACATTCAAAGCTTGTCTTGATGGATTACATTTCGTCTGCTATGACTAAACAGTCAGTTGACCGTAATGAAATCAGTAGAAACAGGTCTGAGTTTATTAACAGTGATGTTCCCGACAGACCTCACAGTAAGACATGAACATGTTATTTCCATGACTCGAGTGTGTCTGCTATAGCGATCAGTCTAAACCACACAAAGTCTCTTGCGGTCTCTCCTGTGAAAAACACAACACCGAAAAACACAATCCTGAAGACTGAGAGAACGCTAACACTTTACAATACGACCCCGTTCGTTAATGTTAGTTAATGCATTAGCTTAAATTAACTAACAATCAGCAATACATTCGTTACTGAATAACTTTTGTACCTTTAACAAGGATTAATCTATATTTAATTTATACAGTGAAGACTATTCAGTCTATGTATACAGTAAAGACTGTTTATATCATTTCTAACTTTCTTCAATTCTATTAATTTGCGCTATTGCTTTTAATTTGTTTATTGGACTTATTTTACTGCTGAATGTTCACTTGTCTTCAGTAATGTTTGAACTTTATATTAGTTAGCCAGTAGCTCTTGTTGTGTTATCGAAATTGGAAACAAGAATTGCAAAATGTCATGTGTATAGAAAACGTTGGTGGCTTATTTATTACAATACAATGTTAAAACAACTATAACTATTGTTTGTTTTTTTGACAGGGCGAGTAAAAATAATTTTCCACCTCCCCAAATATCACCCCACCAACCTTAGAATGAGTCATTCTTTCCAAATAAGACTACATATTTAAGTCATCTGGTAAATAATAATAATAATAATAAAAATCATGTATATTTTCATATTGCAATATGTATATATAACCTATTGCAATATCTGTTTTTTTCTAATATTCTAATATTTCTAATATTTTCTAATATTGTGCATCGCAAACTGAGATTAATATATGCTTTTAAAGTATTTTTCATTATTAGTTCATCTTAACTAATGTCAACAAATGAAACCTTATTGTAAAATGGGTAACACTTTATAATTAGTGTGTTAACTTACATTAACTAACACTGAGCAGTTCATTGGTTAAGTATTCATTATTTTATCATTTTGGTAACACTTTACAATAAGGTTACATTATTGTATGCAGATGCATACAATACATTTGTTACAGTATTTATTAATTAATAAAAGTACAACTGTTCCGGTCCTTTAAATAATATTAGCAGATACAACTTTTGATTTTAATGCATTAGTAAGTGTTAAAATTAACATGAACTAATATTAATAAATGCTTTAGATTAAATTTTTGTTTCTATTGTTCTGTTAACTAGTGGAACCTTGCTGTACAACTTTACAATAAATTAGCACTAGTTAGTTAGTGCATCAACTTAAATCAACTAACGTTGAGCAATTCATCAGTTACGTATTTACTCGTTTTTGTTCATGATAATGTTAAGTAATACATTTTAAGTAATAAATTAAATAATAATGCTAATATATTTTTATTGTTAGTTCATGTTAAATAGTTAATGCAAAAAATTACAAACTAACGTTGATCAATTCGTTGGTTCAAGTTCATGTTAGCACATACAACTTTGGAACAACAAATGGAAACTTATAGTATAGTTTGTTCCAAGAGCATATATATTTATATACAATGAAAGAGGAGGAACACACTAACAGCTTACAGTAACTCCACAGGACAAGCCACTCTCACAAGCCAATCAATCCTCATCGACCAATGAAACGCTTCGACGGCAGCCAGCTGTTCCCTGTCGTCTGCAGGAGCTTCAGCACCGTACCAGTCGTATTCCATCGGCACGAACACCGTTTCAATAAATCACATCAACTTCACTGGAGTTAAATTCCTCCTGTACCCTGCTGACCCGCAGCCATGATACAATCACCAGGTCTCTGGAGAGACCGACGCAGAGAGATGAAGGACGCCGGACAGAGGAGGAAGAGGACGCCCACTTCATTCTACTGACGGGAGACACAAGCCACGGACAGGAACATGTGGAGAGCATCAAACACGTTTCTATATTTCTACTCCCACCAGCCAATTAGGAACATGGATGAAAGGCAGAGAGAAAATCATAAGAGCGAGAGATTGCATTAGTTATGATAACCTGAAACATATGTTTTGGTTGAACAGACTGTTAGATTGTGTGTCTCTCAGTTGCTGTGAACTGCAGACCAGTGATAGACTGACTTCTAAAGATCTCTATTAATGTATTTATTTGCCATAATGATTATTATTGCTTGTCCTCAGGGCTGGGCAATAAACAATATCATATCATATTGATAACAAAGCGTCTGTGCTTTAATATATAAGGACATGAGCACACGGACTTCATCTCCAGAGCTGCTCTGAGAGTCACTTCAGCAGCTTTACACCGTTTCATTTGAGAAAAACTATCTGCAGATTCCCGCGGAAACTCAAAAAATAAAAGCCTATACATTCTGACATAAATGCATTACTATTGCATACAAAAATGTACTTCTCGAAGTAATAATAATAATATTGTTATTATTTTTTAAGGAATATCATACAACTAAGTTATTTTTTCATGTTTTAATGTACACCGTTGCATTGTGCAGCATCTTATTTGACAAAAAAATTAAAACACGTTTTGGTCTAAATTAATTGTTGTAATATTTGATTTTATTATACTTTTAAAAGACTATTGATTCATCTCATTAGACACATTTTTGATTATACATTTTTATTAAATACATATTATACATTTCTGGTAACACTTAAGTTCAGGGACCCATTCTCACTATTAACTAGTTGCTTATTAGCATGCATATTACTAGTATATTGGCTGTTTATTAGTGTTCATAAAGCACATATTAATGCATTATTCTGCATGACCATATTTTAAATCCCTTAATCCTACCCCATACCTAAACTTAACAACTACCTCGCTATTAAAAAGCAGAAAATTAGGAGTTTATTGAGGCAAAAGTTGTAGTAAATAGTTAATAGTGAGAATCGGTCCCCAAACTAAAGTGTGACCACATTTTTATAAATAAAAAAATGGACCTGAGCTAACATTAATGAACAGTTGTATCTGTATTAACTACGTTAACAAAGATCAATAAATACCTTAACTGACATTAACTAACAATGAGGAATGCATTTGTCAGTTAACTTTAGTTAATGCATTAACTAACATTAACTAGCAATGAGCAATAATGAGCATTTGTGAATGCATTAACTAGTTAACTAAGAAATACTTAAATGGTTGTTCATTGTTAATTAATGCATTAATTAAAGGATTTCATTTTATCTTTAATGATAATGAATAATGATAATGATAATAGATGAATGATACAGTATATCTACGCAACTACAGGCACACACACACACACACAAACTCAATAAGACTGATCAACAGAATGTCGATGTGTAGCACTATTTCTACATGTACAGTAATTAGACTTAAATTATTTGAGTAATTAGTAATTAACTCGAAATAACTAGAGCAAATTAGACTCAAATAAACGAAAGTTAGATGAAGAGAGAGATCGTTTGTAATGACGCTTGTAGTTTGAGCAGAACTTCAGTCACTGTTTAGAGGCTGATGAAATATTGCTGTAATTGGAAATCCAAGCATAGACTCATTTGTGTGTGTGTGTGTTTCTCTCTCTGTGTGTGTGTGTGTGTGTCTCTGTGTGTGTGTGTGTGTGTGTGTTTCTCTCTCTCTCTCTCTGTGTGTGTGTGTGTGTGTGTGTGTGTGTGTGTGTTTCTCTCTCTCTCTGTGTGTGTGTGTGTGTGTTGGGCTGAGTGTGTGTGAGTGTTCGGGGAATAGGGCTTAAACTCCAGAGGTAATCACACAGCATTCGAGTGCTTTTATTGCTGTGGTGATTTGTTTATTCTGTACAGATAAAATTCCACCCGACCTGTGTCTGTGTGTGTGTGTGCGTGCGTGCGTGCGTGCGTGCGTGCGTGTACCTCTGTGTGTGTGTGTGTGTGTGTACTCTCTTTCCATCCTGTAGGATAATAAAGATAACACAGATACTCAATCCAAAAAAAGTCTTATACAGCTTCCACTGTACATTCTGTGCCTTTTGTGAAGCAGCGACTGCATAAGAGTTGGATATCGTTTGAATTTTGTCGACTCTGATTCTGAATCAAACATTTAGATATCAAACATATTTACTCTGTGTCTCGTTTTGCAAAACATTTAGATGCAGCTATATAAAAACTGGACTCGTTTAAGACCTTTATTTAAAAAAAAAGAAAAAGAAATGAAAAAAAACGAATCTTTCATGATTTTTGTATAAACGGAGAATCAAAATGTGCAAATATTTGGTGCTTTTTTTAAAGATCTGCGAGTGAAATAAAGAATCTCTCAGAATCTTTTCAAGTTGATAGTAAGATTTCACATGCATTTACCAAAAGTCATCAAAATAGCAAATTACATTCACAGATTTCAGCTGTTTTATTAAAACAGGCCGTGCACTACATTATTGGCCTCTGGCAGTCATGTTAAATTCAAACTTCAACATGTTTTTAATGATTATTGACAAGGACACACTATGTGCATGTCAAATCTACTACAGATCTGGCACATAAAGACTAGTCTGAGAAAGAAGACTAGTCTGTTGACAAAAACACACATACATATCCAGTATGGTGGAAAATTTTCCCAGGCAAACGGATGAGGGCAGGAATCTGGCATTTCTTGAACCTCTAATAATCCTGACAAAACAACAGGGTTTCTAGCACTCCGTGCCTAGACCTCTAAAGAGGAAGAAGTTTTTAGTTTTTCCCAAATAGAGGTCATGATTCTCTCACGAATTTGAATAAAAAAATAAAAAAAAACATTGGACAACTAAACAAAATAACATGTATGAATGAATGATTCAATGACTCACTCATAAAGACTTTATGTGTTTAATTACTGGATGAATCAGCAAATGATTGAATGAATCTCTTGAATGAATGATTCAAAGACACATTTGACATTTTTAACAGTTACTCGTCACCACCTACTGGCGTTATGGCTATTATCTTTATTTGAAGCATCAAATTTCTTTCAAAAGATGATGTAATCTATTTGATTCTACTGGAATCGGAATTTTAATTTAACAACCTCAGAGAACAGTACAAAATAAACAAAAAAGGCAGGCCATGACCCCTTTGACATAGCGTTCGATACTGTCCGTTCGTATTTGAGGACATTCATTGAATTGTTCTTCTTCACAGCACACAAAGCCTTGAGTTTTAGGAGGTTGTGTGTGAAAATCCTGTCTGAGATTGTACAAGCGTATAAAAGTCACGCTTTGCCCTCACAGGTTTGTGTGAATGTTTGCAGAAGTCGTGTCCGTATCGGCACAGGTGAACACAGCGAGGGATTTGGAGGATGAAGGGAGATGCACTTATAATCTAAATCTGTGAGTTTCCCTCTCTGCCGCTTTCCTTTCAAATAAAAATACAAAGAACATAAACATTCAATGATGCAGAGAAATCATTCTCTGTCTCACTCTGATCCCATGAAATAAAAACAAGAGTTTTGTGACTGTCGGTTCACGTTATTTGAAGTCGTCTATCTGGTAATGCACTCCTAAAAGTTGACAAATGTAACCGTTAGCTACTCTAAAGGTTTTAAATGTACAGTTTTTCTCTTCTGGACACACAAAGTTAGTCAGGACTAGGGTTGCAAAAAGATGGAAAATTGACAGTAAATTTCGGAAACATTCCAGAAATTTTAGAAACTTTCCGGGATTTTTTTTTGGAATATTCCAGCGATTTTTGGAAAGTTTCCGGAAACTTACCGGACATTTTCCACCCCTTTGCAACCCTAATCATGACATCTTTTTGTACTTGTTGATCTTAATTTTTGTCCAATTAACTGCTCTGCATGAGAACGTCCCTCCCCCTAATTCATAAAAAACACAAAATCATAAATATAGTTTATCATAAAATCATAAATATACTTAAGTATGAAATGAGTGTAATGTTTTTGGACACTTAATTGCATGTTGATCGCAATGAAATGAAAATGCTTCTTCTTCTTCTTTCCTGGCGGCTTTAAATTAAATGAAAATGCATTATAATTAAATGCAATTAGTTGAACTTTAGAGTGCTTTTTGACACACTTAAGTAGGACTTAATTACATTTTAATATGCAATTTCCGTAAAATTATTTCTATTGTCTTTGAAGTATGGTTTAAGTATGACTTGATGCACTGACAAGCATTTATGATAAAGTAAAAAATACTTTAATGACATTTCTATTGAAACGTGCGTGACATGTTTTTACATATATTTGCAATTACATATTTGTCTCTCTCACTTAAGTGGCCTTTTATTTCTTTAATATTATCTGCAAGTAAAATAACTTTTAAGATTTGAAGTACACATTAAATATGAGTGCACTTCTTTTTTCCACAAGGGGCAGCAAATTACGGTTCATAATTGTGATGTAAACAAAAAGCTGCTGCAGTTCAGTAGTAACTCATTACAGGAAAGAAACCTGTGGCTGTCATTCATGAGGGTTTTAAACACACTGCACATCTGTGACAGATCGTCATGTTTATTGTGATCAGGTGAATGAAGTGTGTTCAAAGGCAAGCACCTTGTCAAGTACCAGACAGCTCAAGCACATCTGAGAGAGAGAGTTGATCTTAGGCTTGTTTAAGGTCTGTAATAGCGTTTCCTGATGCGTTCAGAAACCGAACGCAGGTGTCTACGTCTGTATCGCTGCTAAAGCTGAAGAAGAAACAACACGTCTGTGAGCGTCTAGAGTTTCTCCATACAGAAAACTTTAATGCACACCATTTCAAGTTAAAAGCCTATTTTGA